AGATGTTGGGTATCGAGTTTGAATAAACCCTGCGCTGAGCTGGGAGGATATACGCAGACTAACCCCCACCGTCTGGAGTGTGTCACGACAAAGGAGGTTGCGCCAAAAGATTGCAAAAATGGGCTGAAAAGAGATTTCTGCGGACCCTTGTGCGCACAAAAACGCACGGACTGCCTTCTTGGAGAACTTTAATGGCAGAGAGTCGGGGGGAATATTTTTTAAGGTTCACAGGACGTCAATGGAAACGCGACACCAGGGAAGCACAGCAAACAGAGGTGCGGCACTATTCCCTTCCCCCGTGAATCGCCCGATTATTTTTGTTGTTGTTGTTGAGAGTGTTTTTTTGAATTGTGTATTATTATTATTATTAATTTGCGTTATTGGATGTGTGGCCGCTGTGGGGGAAGACTGTTTTTTGTTTCTTTTTCACGCCGTTTTGGGATCCTTTTCTGCACCGGCATCACTGTGTTCTTGCCGCACTGTTGCGCCCTCTTTCCCTTCCATTTTGGGGCAGCTGCGGGTGGGTTTTACATGCCGTGGAGCTGTGTGCCGTGCTGTCCGGTGTTTCATTGTTGCCTGTTCTTCCTGCGTGCACGCGTCCCCCATGCTCATGACAACAACCCTCATGCAAACGCCACTCCTCCTTTTCCATGCTGCTGATGTGTGTGTTCTTCTCATCCTCCTCTCTTTGTCCCTCCCTAGACTGTGTGTGCAGCCGTGATGATGATGATGACTGGCCGTGTGCTGCTGGTGTGTGCCCTCTGCGTGCTGTGGTGCGGTGCCTGCGGTGGTGAACGAGCTGAAGCAACTCCAGGTTCTCCGGGTAATGCGTCAAGAGAAGAGAAACCTCAAAGCGAAGGAGAGCCTGTCGGTGGCGCTGGAAATGATGTCAAAAAGGGTGAACAGAAAGTGACACAAGGAGCAGCACTAAAGGCGCCAGAATCACATGAATCGCCAGCGAACTCGCCACAGGCACCACCACCCGAAGGAGGAGCATCAGTAACGGCAAGTACAACGACGGAAAACAAGGGTAAAAATGCACAAGAAGGTGAAAAGGGGGAAAACGAAGAGAAAGAAGACGAAGACGAAGAGGATGAAGTGGAAGAGGAAGAGGAAGAAGAGGAACAAGAAGAAGAAGATGAAGACGAAGAAGAAGAGGATGGTGCGAAAGAAAACGGGGAGACAGAGGAAGAAACGGCTACCGGCACCACAGAGGAGACCTCAGCAGGCAGTCAGGAGAAGCCAAGTTCATCTTCTGCTGCGGAGGGAGCATCGAATATAACAAATCCCAACAGCACACAAACAACTGGAGACGATGATCCAGCAGCTGATGGTGCAGGGACAGCGGAGGGAAAACAAAATGAAAATAAAGATGCCAATCCGAAAGAAACACCAGTGACGGCCACAGCCATGAAAACTACGACGGCGACGACTGGCGACAGTGACGGCAGCACCGCGGTCTCCCACACCACCTCCCCTCCTTTGCTTCTTCTTGTTTTTGCTTGTGCGGCTGCGGCTGCGGTGGTGACCGCGTGAGAGTGAGGGAGAGAGAGCCGTGCACCGCCCGCACACACGCTCGTCCTTCTCTCTGTGTGTGTGTCCCCTTGCATGGACTCTCGCCCTCACCTCACCCCACGAAGCACACACAATGATGTGCCCATTGTATATATGCATGCACACCCATGCAGGCCCGTTGGTGCTCTTTTTTGCACGACACGCACCGCTGCCGTCCTGCCTGGCTGCATGGGCGGAGCACCGTGACTGTTTTTTTATTTTTATTGCATTGAGTGGGCGACCTCTCTCTCTCCCTGTGTGTGTGTTTTGCTTTACGGGAGTAATGAGAGTGTGTGTGCTGGTCGTCCCACGCTTCGGCATTTTGTTTCTATTTTGTTTTGAATCTTTGCTTCTGTTGTGGTTTAGTTCGCCCATTTTACTTTCATTGGTTGGTTTTCTTCTTAAAGGGCGGATGGCTGAATTTTCCCTTTTGTATTCTCCTGTTCTTTGTTTCTCCCACGCAATCGGTCCTTGTTGCTTCAGCGAGCCACGAAATATTTGCCCAGCACCCACATCAATGGCTTACTTGCTCTACACCCCACATTAGTTTGAGACGCTGGTGCTGCTGCATGTGATGATGTTTATGGTGTGATTGCTAGCGGATGCTTTGCTGTCACTTTGACGTACCCTCGATTTGTTGAATATGTTATGCGTGCCGACAGCACGAATTGGATCCGCGTTGTTGTGAGGGACGCACCCTTTTTGAGCAGTTGGTGCGCTGCAGCCATACGCCGTCATTGGGAGGGATGGATGCCCATCCGCATCAACGTATCCACAAGGGACCTGGATGATGCCGGGAAGTATTGGATCTCAGAGAGGCACCACGCACTGAATTCATTGAATGACAATTGCGAGTGTGAGGGTGACGTTGTATCCTCTGCGCACGGGACCATTCTCGAGGATGAAGTTGTCCCTGTTGCTGTCAAACTGCATGCGGATCGTCTGCTCGTGCAGCCACTGGAGGGTCCTTTGATTGTGCCCCCATTTGCCACGGGCAGCGTTTGCATTCGGTTCACGGTGCGTGCTGGGCATTGTTCCACTGGTGTTGCCAATGCTGACATGGTGCTGTGCGTGGCAGAGCGCTGTCGGTGGTG